GGTTTTCCCAGGATGTGATAAATAAAATTAAAGAAAGAGATAATCTACACAAAAAAGCGAAACATTCCAAATTGGATCATGATTGGGTAGAATATAAGAAAATTAGAAATGTTGTGAATACTTTGATAAGAACAGAAAAAAGAAAATATTATGAGAAACAAATTGATGAGAACAAATGTGATAATAAGGCCATGTGGAAATCATTGAAAGAATTGTTGAATGGAAAAAAACAAAACAATCCCTCAAGTATAAACTTTGATGGTGTAATGATTGAAAATGATCTCAATATAGCTGATTCTTTTAACGAATTTTTTATTAATAGCATACAAAAAGTTGTCAATGATATTAAACCATTCAACGATTTCAATAATGTTATACGTCATATTCAAATGGTAAAACCGAAATTTGACGCATTTCGAATTGTAACAATGATAGATTTGAAAAAAATTCTTGATTCACTGAAGAAAAATAGTTCTGATAATGACGGGATTGATCTTCGTATAATTAAATTAGCTTTTCAAGCAATTGGAAACTGCTTCCTGGATGTTATAAACACTTCATTAGGCACTGGCACTTTTCCGAGTGCTTGGAAACTATCAACAGTCATACCAATTCAAAAAGTGATCAATACTTCGAACAGTTGTGAATTCAGACCCATAAATACCCTCCCAAGTTATGAAAAAATGTTGGAACTGGTCGTTAAAGATCAGCTGCTGAAATTTCTTGGAGATAACGATATAATCATCAAGGAACAATCTGGCTTTCGACAATCTCACTCCTGTGAGACTTCCCTGCAATTTTTAATATCTCAATGGAAAACAAATCTTAGCAAAAAAAAGGTGATAGGAGTTGTATTTTTGGATTTCAAGCGTGCTTTTGAAACTATCAACATAGATTTATTGTTGTTAAAACTCAATAGATATGGAATTACAGGCAATGTATTAAATTGGTTCGAAAGTTATTTACGACATAGAACACAAATAGTAAAGTATAACAATGTATTTTCTCGTAAACTGAAAACTCAATATGGAGTCCCCCAGGGTTCAATATTGGGACCGATATTATTTATTTTGTTCATTAACGATATCATCAAACAAGTAAAAAAATGTAAATTGAAATTATTCGCTGATGATACTTTGTTATACTTTGCTGGTGAACCAGAAGAAGTTGAATCATCTTTAAATGAGGACTTGAGTCGTATCTTCTCATGATTGTGTGATAATGGACTGATGCTGAATCTTGGAAAGACCAAATGTATGTTGATAGCTAACAGAAACAAACATAAAACATTGAAAAACGATTTGTTCCAAATGACCTTGATGATTAATAATGTCAAAATTGAGACTGTGAAAACCTATAAGTACTTGGGAGTAATGATTGATGAAGAATTGAATATGAATGCACACTGTGATTATATAAAGAAAAAGATTGCAAAGAAAACCCACATTTTGTACAGGCTCAATGGTAAAGTTTCTTTTTTTTTCTAAGTTGACTATTTACAAGTCTATAATAGCACCGCACTTCGATTATTGTGGAACCCTATTATTTTTTCTTAATAATGACCAGTTGAACATAATTCAAAAAACACACAATCGTGCCATGAGAGCTATACTCATGTGTAACAAACGCACTCCAATAAAAAATATGTTAGATACATTATCGTTGATGACTGTGAAACAAAGAATTCATTACAATATGTTGGTCTTTGTGTTCAAGATGAAAAACAGTATGTTACCAACCTACCTCAGTGACGAATTAAGTTATATTGAAAATGTACACACTCATGAGACTAGAACTCGAACTGCAAATGATTTTTATATTCGAATGGATAACATGCACTGTGACACAGTATTTAATAAGGGTTTAATACACTTCAATAGCTTACCCTCTGAGACAAAAAACCTCACGACTTTGACCCTTTTCCAAAAAAAATGAAGAGACTATGTATTCAAACAGTTTTAATAGTATGAAATTATATTTTATGAGAGTAGCTTTTAATATGTTGTATCTAGTTGATTTTTAATATTGTACCTATGGAAACTTTTAATATGTTGTACCTATTATAGTACCTGTTTTTGTCTTTTGAAGAACTTTTGTTATTTGTGATACTTGTGTTGTTTTTTTTTGCTTATTCTGTATTTTTCTGTGAAGAGCACTTTGTATGCTAATAAAGAGTTATATATATATATAACACCCCTGTATCTTACGTAATCGTTGGGTAAGTATCCTGAAATTTGCTGGAGCGAGAAATATACCAAAAATACACTATATGACCAAGTGGGGTCATCTTCAGTGATATACACTGCTCGCCAACAGCCATGGAAACACCCCAATTTCCGGACAATGATAATAGGAGTCAAAATAGGTAGAAAGTAACTTCAGATTCGGAATCAGGACGCTCAATTCACTAACTATTCATATTTTTTCTGTGAAATTTTCAGTTCTGGAAAATTAAATTTTGTCGCACTTTTTACGGAAGCACCCCCGTATCTTACGTAATCGACTTCATCTTTGGACTTTCCCTTCCTCCTGCAAATTTCAGAACCCTACCTCAATAATTACGTGAGATATGGGGGTGCTTCTATGAGAAGTGAGACAAAACTTAATTTTTCTGAACCAAAAATTTTCTAGGAAAACTATGAATAGTTAGTGAAATGGGCGTCCTGATTCCGAATCCGAAGTGATTTTCAACCTATTTTGACTCCTAATATCATTTTCCGGAAATTGGGGTGGTTCCATGGCTGTTGGCCAGCAGTGTATATCACTGAAGATGACTCCACTTGGTCATAGAGTACATTTTTGGTATATCTCTCGCTCCAGCAAATTTCAGAATCCTTACCCAACGATTACGTAATTTACAGGGTGTGTGAATTACCACCTTTCGAAATCTATGCAACGACTCTGAAAGACGAATTGTGCTTAAATTGTTCAGGATCCATGGTGGAAGGTCTATAAGAAGTATCTGGAGAACGAAAAGACAGAATATTCTGAAAATTGGGATGTTTTGATAATTGAACATTCTCTATCCGTCTAAAATATTTTCATCGATACAGTATTGTCACTTCTATTAGAAACAACTAGCAATTTTGTTATTTCAAATGGAACACCCAATTTTCAGAACGTTCTGTCTTTTCGTACTCCAGATACTTCTGATAGGCCATCCACCGTGGATCACCCTGTATAAATAATAGGGTTAAATCAACTCATTTTGACCTCTATTACATGTAGTAGCTCTGTGTCCCCGCAATTTTGGGACACCCTGTATTCTGAAGGTTGGGTGGAAGAGCAAGCTCTGCTATGCATTTTTCCTGCCTTTTGTTAAGTTCTCTGTACTTTGTATATAACCTCCCAATGAAATAATGCATTTTTATTATTATTATTTTAGTTCATATTATTCCAGTCACGACCCTGCGGCCTCCGACGTCACGCAGAGTTGTGCTGGATAAAATCCAGTAACTACTCCTCACAGCCTGTGAGGTGAGTAATCACTGGGACCAAGTACCGTGTGCCCTGAGTAGACGCAATGATCCCAGTATGACGGCCTTCTGCATTCCACCAGCCAGGATGTGTGCCTTATCACGGCACGCTGGGATTTTCTGGATCTCCGAGAGCAGCGTGTGTCGTGTGCCTCCTAGGGAACCGATAATCAGGATGACCAATTCCACAGAATGGTCTGGATAGAGCCGGCGGAGTTCGAAGAGAAGATCTCGATATTTAGTCCGTTTTTCCTCCTCCTTCAAAACGATGTTCGGTTCGGCTGGCGCCGAAAACTCGATCACGAACATCGCTTTGGTTTGATGGTCGAGGAGGACTACATCAGGCTTGTTAGCTTGAATTTGCCTGAGGGTGGGGAATGAGAAGTTCCAATAAATTCGGCACCTCTCATTCTCCACAACGGACTCAATATCCCCCGGAGCATAGGGCAGCACTGGGGTCTCGTCTATTCCGTACGAGTGCCTCAAATAGTAGTAGAGCACTCGCAATGCCGCATTGTGTCTATGGATATAGGCCGAGACTGCATACACCGTGCAAGAAGACAGCAGGTGCATAATTGTCTCGGGCGCCCTGCGGCAGGCCCTGCTACTTGTGTCAGGGACCTCCATACCCATGACACGGCTACGGTAGACGAGAGTGTTAAAAACCCCATCCTGACATGCCATGATGAACCCCTCTGTTTCCGATTTGAGCCCGCCTGACTTCAGAAAAGCAAAAGTCAGTTCTTTGGATAAGCCCCGGTCTTCAATGGTCTTGAAGTAGACCGAATGCATGGGCTTATCCATGTGAAGCTGCAGGAGCTTTCTCACTTCTGCAGCTTTGATGCGGGCCTTCCTCCGAGCAGGCTCTAGCTCAGTAACTGAGTCCTGAGCCTCGCGCTCGGAGTCGAAAATCAGAGACAATTCATCGGCTGCTCGACGTGCTGCCCTGAAAAGAAAAGCTCCTACTCCTGCCTCTTCATGGGTTTTAACCATTTGCAGAAGGGGGTCCGAACTCCTGATGACTTTGCAGGCGCCATCCAGAACCATTCTGTTATGGAGATACTCCAAGCTCAAGAGTCCACGGCCACCCTGGTCTCTAGGTATGTATAACCGTGGAACGGACGAATTTGGATGCAGACTCCTATGGAGATGCATCATCTTGCGAGTACTTACGTCAAGTTGTCGCAGCTCGACTTGAGTCCACTTTATCACTCCAAATGAGTAAAGTAGGATCGGAACAGCAAGCATGTTAGTCGCAGCGACTTTGTTCTTCCCCGACAGTTCTGACGACCAGATTATTATTATTATTATTATCATTATTATTATTATTATTATTATTATTATTGAATGTATACTGAAGTAGTGGCCAATATTCGATTCAAGACCTCAAGTCTCAGTAGCATGGTCTGGTAGAAAATAAAAATATGATGGCCCTCATTGACTCTTCAATCATATCTGATTCAAAGTTTCAATTTAGACTCAGTAATCGTTCAATGACTTGACACCTATTCTTTGCCATTTCAGGTACAACGTACCATGCTGGAACTGATCAACCAATTGGACGGTTTTGATCCTCGCGGCAACATCAAAGTCCTCATGGCCACCAACCGTCCAGACACTCTCGACCCGGCATTGATGAGGCCGGGCCGTCTCGACAGGAAAGTGGAATTCGGCCTGCCGGATCTAGAAGGCCGCAGCCACATTTTCAAAATCCACGCTCGCTCGATGTCCGTCGAACGCGACATTCGTTTCGAGTTGCTCGCCAGATTATGCCCCAATTCTACGGGGGCGGAGATACGGAGCGTGTGCACTGAGGCGGGGATGTTCGCTATCAGGGCCAGAAGGAAAGTCGCCACCGAGAAGGACTTTTTGGAGGCCGTCAATAAGGTCATCAAGTCGTATGCGAAGTTCTCTGCCACTCCGAGATACATGACTTATAACTAAAGGAGTTTTGTTGGCAGGATATTTCGTTATTTAATCTGAGTTCGACTTGATTTGAATGAATATATGTGTGTTTGATATTATATGTTTTTTTTTCAATCATGTTCCAAGATTATTCTTTCTTGAGCTTTGAAGGCTAACGTCGTATTCTCATGAAAAAGTACCACGAAACAAACATTCATAACAAATTGGGACTACGTATCTGGGTATTGGTACGAAGGCGTAGAGCGACCACTACAAGAAATATTCTAATAATTCCGTATTATTATAATTTCGGAGATAAAAAGTCGAATAATAATTCTGAGATGGAAGTCACAATTATTATAATTCTGATGAAAGTCCATGGGTGTGCGAGTGAATTTAGGTCTTCAGGCCTTCTACGTTCCCACCATGACAGCCTTCAAACTAGTCATAAACAACCTCCAACTACAGTGACTCACCTTGAACAATATTATTAGTTTAGCTATCAAACAATAGATGTCCGTTTGACATAATGATAATTATGATAATGCGCAGGCACCACAGAACGGAAGTGAACAACTCTTTCGAACCATTCCCATTCGTGTTTTCTATGATTATTTTTTCCAATAAAATTGTGGAGGCTGAGTTTGGTCAGGGAGTTTTATTCTGGTCCACTAATAGCATGGCGTCAGCTCACTGTGATCGTTTGTATAGTGATTAAGGCTTTCAAGGATGTTTTTCCTTCTTCTCGAGAACCCGAGGGTCTCGTTAATAATTCTGATATTTTCCACGAGCAAATGCGCATGCGTCCATAATGTATCACGTGATTCACTGTGACCAATCTGACAATGAGGTTTGGGAATGGTTCGAAAACTTCAGGCTCTCGTCTGGCACCATTGAACTCAATGTAAACATTGAGTTCATTGTCAGGCACAGGTATTCGCGATAGAAAATAACACCCCTACCTGACGACAACAACTTGAACACTTCTAGTTCTAAGCGGTTTGTTTTGATGTGACCAATTAGCAGAAACAAAAAACAAATGTGAACCAATGGAAACAAGGTAAACAGGCCGCTTTGACAGCTTTCAAGAACACCGATAGGTGGCGTAGCATATTTTCTATCGCGAATTGCTTTGAAATGGCGTTCATATTTTGTTTGACGAATGACGATTGACATATCTTCTTGTGATTTATTTCCGATTTCCGGTAAGAAGAGTTCTTTCGTTTTGAAGTGCTATTCTTGCCAGTTATTCCATTTTTCACAATCAAAAAATGAATAAATGAATCAACAACAGTTGACTTTTAATTCGAACAATAGTGAAGTTTATATTGGAGCTAGACAAGTGTGTAGTATCCTGACATCGTTTTCCGAATTTCCACAAGGGCTATATATTCCGGGTGTCTGGAGTTGATGAAGTGTTTAAAGATCCTGTAATAATTATCAAGTTATATTTTAATATGATTATTACAGGGGATTACAGTTTGCATGATCTAAAATTAAAAAGTCATTTCAAACATTTTCTCTCATTTACTAACCATTTTCATTTCACAGTGCCTGTAAATGGTTGGAAGAGATAAATGCATATAAAAATAAGGGCTTATGATATTTCATTTCATTCACTATTTACGAGCAATTCGATTTTTTATGTGAAATATTTGAATATATCCTATGAATTATTCGAAATTTCCGCTATTCGAAATAGTTGAGCTATCAAACACCAGAGGCGATAGCGAAAATGATAAACATTGTCGTGAGTTATAGTATGATTCTGACATTTCATTTAGCTTCGAATTATAATAATTCTGACTTCTGAGTGACAAGAAAGTGGAATCCGGGCTGCCGGAATTGAAAGGCCGCAGCCACATTTTCAAAATCCACACTCGCTCGATGTCCGTCAAACGCGATTTCCGTTTCAAGTTGCTCGCCTGGCCAGATTATGCCCCAATTGTACGGGCGCGGACTCGCGGAGATGAGGAGCGGGTGCACTTATAGGCGGGTATGTTCGCTATCAGGACCAGGAGGAAAGTGGCCACCGATAAGGACTTTTTGGAGGTCGTCAATAAGGCCAAGTCGTATGCGAAGTTCTCGGCCGCCCCGAGATACATGACATAAGGATATTTCGTTATTCAATCTGGGGTAGAGATGATTTAAAAATGAATATACCGGGTGACACAAGTTATCGGGCCACCCCTGTAACTTCTGCATTCGTCAACGGATTTTTCTGAAATTCGGTACAGTTATATAAGTAACTATTTCGGATTTGATCACATTACAATCCAATATGGCGGACTTCCGGTTTTTCTGGAAATGCCAGCAATTTTGTTTTTTCAAATGGAACACCCTGTATATTTTTACATATTCAAGTTCAACAGGTCAAAACAAATGCAATCTTGATGTCAAATGTCATTTATTCCACAGCCTACCTAGTTGAAAAATTATTCTAACTGCAAGGAAATTCATAAACTAGTTGTTGATTTTTGAATGTATACAATTTGTTACTGCACCGAAAAACAAAAATGATATGTCATTTTGTTCCTTAATGTATGTTCTAGAGAGACGGTTAGGTGGCCCATAGGGGTTCCATTTGAAAAAAAAATAATTTTTGATCAAAAAGTGATGTGGCTGAATTGATTGCTGGATAAGTGACACACAAAATGATTCTTCAGAAAAAATTATGTTCTTCTGTTATGTGTGACTCATTGTGAATTAATAGTCTTGACCACATCTCATTTATCCACGAGGTAAAATGAAAAAACAATTTTAATTTGAATTTTTTCGAAAAAATGACATTTTAAATAGAGATTGCACTTGTTTCGACCTGTTGAACTTGAATATGTAAAAATATACAGGGTGTTTCATTTGAAAAAACAAAGTTGCTGGCATTTCCAGAAATACCGGAAGTCCGCCATATTGGATTGTAATGTGATCAAATCCGAAATAATTGCTTATATAACTGTACCGAATTTCAGAAAAATCCGTTGACGAATGCAGAAGTTACAGGGGTGGCCCGATACCCTGTGTCACCCGGTATGTGCGTTTGATATTTGATATGATGCATTTTTTTCAATCAGTTTATGTTCCATTTGAAGGTGAACGTTGTATTTTTAAGGAACAGTACCACATGGTACCACGAAACCAATTCCAAAAAATAATAGGACAATCTGATGGGTATTGTTGGTACGAAAGCATAGAGCGGCCACTGCAACAAATAATTTAATAATCCTGAGACAAAAGTCAGAATTGTTAGGATTCTTAGATGAAATTCAGAATTATTCTTTAATTCGGATTTAAGTCAGAATTATTATGATTCGGAGATAAAAGTCAGGATTGGAGTTAAGTAAATGTGAGAAAAGGTGAGTTCCCAATGCGGCTTTTTTGCTCTTCGCGTCACGCTACCTGCTATAATTCGGAGATAAAAGCCCGAACTATTCTATAATTCACGACAGTATGGGGCAACCAATCTGATGGCTGTGTCGCTGCGAACGTAGAATGGCCGAATCTCTGCAGGACTGCTTTAAGTGGATAATCGAGGTCACGTATGAAGTCTACATTCTGATGTATTGCTAACTTCGTTGTTAAATCTGAACAGTAATTCTAAAAAGAATGACGACCAGATGAAACGATTGATGTGCAAGTGAATTTAGTCATTCAGCCATTCTATGTTCGTAGCAAGACATACATCAAACTAGTTTTCATATACTGTTGTGAATTTCAGTATGATTCCTACTTTCATCTCCGGATTATTATGATTCTGACAGACAGGATAGTGGAATTCGGCCTACCGGATCTAGTAGGTCGAAGCCACATTTTCAAAATCCACGGTCGCTCATTGTCCGTCGAACGCGACATTTGTTTCGAGCTGCTTGCCAGATTGTGCCCAAATTCTACGAGGGCGGAGAAAAGGAACGTGTGTGCACTGCATAAGGCGGGAATGTTCGCTCTCAGAGCCAGAAGGAAATAAGTGGTTACCGAGAAGACTTTTCGAAGGCCGTCAATAAGATCATCAAGTCGTATGCGAAGTTCTCGGCGGCCACTCCGAGTTACAATAAATGAGTTTTGCCTGAAGGATATTTTCTTATTTCATCTGAGAGTTCAAGTTGATATGTGCGTTTGATGATGCGTTTTGTTCAATCATCAGTTTATAATCCACGATATTCTTCGTTTGGCTGGTGAACGTCGTATTCTTAAAAAACAGTATGATTTGTCCAAAACCAATTGTAGTGGCTCGTGCTGCACCTGCAGCCACTTCAAAGGGAACTTCAAATGGAACACCATTACTTGGTATACGGACGGGTCTAAAACACCCGAAGAAACTGGAGCAGGAGTCTTTGGGCCTCGCACCAAATACTTACGGGGCATTGCAGACTCAAACAACACCTAAGGAAGCTAGGCTTACAGGAAGACGGCACCTGCAGATTCTGTGAGGAGGAACCAGAAACACCCCATCACATACTGATAGACTGATGGAGTTTGACGCTGTACATCACAAAAGATTGAACATAGAAATACCACAACTAGATTCCCTCAAAATCCTCAAATTCCTGACGGAATTGAATCTTAAGGGGCTGCTATGAACGAGAAATTCTTCATATAGCAGAAGCAGATGGGGCACAATAGAATTAATTAGGTCGCAGCGCATCTGTCACCATCCAACCTACCAATACCAATATACCAAGAGAACTTCAAGAGAAATATCGAAATATAAAAATAATAATAATAATAATGGATGATATGATTGTGATAAGATCTTCATTTTGAAGGTTAATCTCATACATCGTCGTGACTTGGTAGTGCTGAACCGCTGATGGTCCATTCAGTCGTATTTTTGCAACGTATTGAAGTCGTTTATCTCCTTTCCATTATATCAATTACATTACATATAATATAGATTTGGTGCATCTACGTAGTACATCCTGTATGTCCCTCCGCGTAGCGCAGAGGGGGCTGGTGTTGGCCAGGGAATGTGAGTGGATATGCGAAGTGTCGATCCGTCACAGAGACCTATCTTCTAGGGCTAGGCCCTTTATATATAGGTAATCTCGACTGTGACTACCAAGAGTCGGGGAGGGGGGGGGGGGGGAAATGCTCATTCATGATCTGTATTTCTGGTTTAGTGG